TAGCACATATTCTTTCTAAAGCCTTTAAGAAACTCATGAATATTTCATTGTCTCCATAAGTGCCAGGAAGATGGCACCATTATCTAAGAAACAGAATGCTACTTGCTAGGTTTGCTTCCCTGAGCTACTTAAGCCCAAACAGGGTGCATTCCCTTCAATAATCCTTTCTGTGAGCCCATACCCATTAACAGGTGACATAAATGAAAAGCAGAATCTTAAACATGGCGTTTAATAAAAGAAAGCATGGGGGGTGGCATTCTTCTCTTTAAAGGCAGATACCTGCATGAGATTGTATGTACAAAGTCAATCAGAGCTCAGTAGAGATTAATAAAGTTTAATCTAATTTCTTAGAGGCACTTAATGAAAATTAAAAACAAAAAAACTGAGGGAGGTAAATCTTACCATAGAAAACGTCTTAATAGACAAGGGAAAAGACTCTGGTCTTTTTCCTTTCTTTCCTACCCCCCAACCCCCCGCCGCCCTTTTACTTTTTAGAGACAACTTACTTCAAGCCAAGAAAACTCTAGGGAGTTTGAATATTTAATGTTATGCTTTCCCACCCTCTTCTTTCACACTCTTCTCTATATGCTCAAGAGCCATATGATTGGGGCCATAAGGAAAAGCTGCTTTACTCAAATATATCCAAGCTGTGAGCCAATTTTGAAAATAGAAACTAAAAAGAAAAGAAAAAATAAAGTGTACCACATTTCAAAGTACCCCAGGTCCACAATGGCTAGTGAATTATGATGATACATAGGATAATCATAAATCTTGGGCTTGTTAAATGAGATTATATTTTCCAAATATTTATTCTATTGAATATGCACATGTGACACCCTAGAATTCCCACAGAAGGTACAGGCATTGTTTTCCCATTTTATAGGTGATAAAATGGACATGGAGAAATTAAAATGATTTGTCTCAAGAAAATACATAGCTATCTAATGCTGGATCAACTGTAAAATGCACACCTTCTAATCAGCCCAGATCTCCTTAATTGAAATCATGTGCTATATTCCTAAGGGACATTCCTTTCCTGGAGTCTTAATATTCTCTGGGAAAGATTAACTCCAATATAAGCACTGCTTTAAAGTATTTTAAAATTGGGTGTAAGATCTAGTTCAAAACTAGTATGAAAAACTTGGAAATATCTCCAACTGACAACTAATTATCTTTTTTGTTCATAATTTAAAAATAATGTTTGAAAATATACGACCACTAAGAACGACATTTAGAACACAGAATTGGGTATAAACTCAACAGCCCAGTACCATTCATTTGAATTCCTCATTAGACCGTGTTCCTTTCTTTTTGTGCCCAAAGGCATATTTTATCTTATCTTCATGAAAAGAACAGGTCATTACCTGCAATTTGACAACAGAAGAGATGATTAAAATGTAGATTGGTCATAACTAAAATAAGGATAGTTACCATATTATAACTTAGGCTAAGAGCATGCACTTTTATAATTTATAATTATAGATACAATCTCTGGATATTAAAATTTGCTATAGTTTGGAACTGTTTCCATGATAACCAATCCAGTAGTTTTACCTACAGCACTCATTCTTCTGTGGCCAGTCAGCTTTGCATGTGGGTAATTGCATATGACAAATAACACTGGGTGATTTCAGGGTCACAGAGAAGACACTGACCTTGCTAGTCCCCCCCTACCAACAGAATGTTATTGCTAAGAGCAGTGGTGCTTCTAAGATTCAGCCACTGCAGTGTGGTTCCCAGAAAACCTGAGATAGGACACAAAATCAAGACCTTACATGCCAGCCCTGTAGAGTGAAAAAAGTTTCAGGCAACTTGAATGGGTTTCTCAGGAAAAAGTGGCCCTCAAGTCCTCACCATCTATTTTTTATTTTTTTAATGTTTTACTTATTTCTGAGAGAGAGAAAGAGAGTGTGTGTGAGCAGGGGAGGGTCAGAGAGAGAGGGAGACACAGAATCTGAAGCAGGCTTCAGGCTCTGAGCTAGTGGTCAGCACAGAGCTCAACGCAGGGCTCGAACCCATGAACCATGAGATCATGACCTGAGCCGAAGCTGGATGCTTAACCGACAGAGCCACCCAGGTGCCCCAAATCCTCACCACCTATAATCTATCTACCAAATAAATATTAGACGGATGTGTTGAATCTATTTAGGTGAGATTATTTTTCTTTTCAAAGATTACAAATAAACCAGGAAAAGGAAGGAAGACATAAAAACTGGCAAGACTCTATGAACTAAATACTTTGTAGGCAAATGTCACAAATGCATTGATTGAGCTTATATAGGGCAAGATCCTTGAACTGGGAAGCAGAGAAACTGAACTGTAATTCCAGATCTATCACAAAGTAAAAATAAATGTATCTTCCTAGCCTATCTTCCTAGGCTATGTCAGGATAAGATAATTAATGTTAAAGTCAGGCAATAATATAAATAAAAACACTTGTAGTAGTTGATTAGTATACATATTATTAATAAAAAGTTAATATAAACATACAGATATGGAAATACCTAAGTTATTTTATTACATAATATAACTATGCAGCTTTATAATCCGCACAGTACATATTTATAACTAAGGAGATTGTTAGTGGCCCGGAAACCAAAATTAAAAATAATTGTGCAAGAACGTTCTAAAAATTCCCTGGTAACGTTCATCAAAATTCTGGGAAATAGGGTTTTTTTTCTTTTCTAATTTATATCCTAGATTCCTATTTCTGAAACCTAATACCATGTATTTTTTTCAGAATCTCATTTCCCAATTAAGCAATCTCAATGTGTATAGTGGTTAAACATCAATAAAATATATATTGCATTCACTTGTGTTCAAATCTGCTTTTAGCCCTGGGGAACACGCAGAAGTAGAATACAACCCTAGCGTTGAAGAAGCTTAAAATTTAACTTCATGGGAATTTATAATAAGTTATAGTGTTTTGTTGTTGTTGTTGTTTTTAGGATTAGAAGTGAAGTTAGAGCTGAAATATGGTGTAAGGCAGGATTCCCTATAATCCCCAATGGAAATGAGGCACTGTGGATCACTTATATATTCCTTTTTATCCTCTCATGTTTTAACATCTCCTTTTACCCCTCACATACCTCTACTGACAGTATCACCTTGTTCCTTACCTTTAGCCAAGTGTTTTGGAAGCCAGTTGTTTCCTAAAGTCTTATTTTCATCGCATTGCTTACTCAAGGCAATCACTAACACCAATTACACACAACTGGGTTTTATCTGAAAAATTCTACCTAGAGCTGCTAGTTCACTTGGGGGATGTATAGTCTATTTCCCAAGTTATTACAGGAAAGAGTTTTTCCAAACTTTCTGCCACTACAGTACATGGCCAGGATTTTCCATCTCCAATGTCAGGTTCCTTTCTCTTGCTGCAGGACTGTTATTCCTTGCCATATGCTACAGGTGGTTGTTATAGTAGCACTCTACTTATGTATTAGTGAGGATAAAGGTAAATGCTACTTAAAAAACACAATGCCTTCAAATGATAATCATAAAAATCTCTTTCTCTCTTCCACCAGGGCAAATGGAATCAAAGGACTCTGAAACAGCAGAACCACATGATAGAAGGAACCCAGATCCCTGAGGTGCAACTAGGGAAACTGTCTTTTTTTTTTAAAATTTTTTTTTTAATGTTTTATTTATTTCTAGGAGAGAGAGAGAGAGAGACAGCGTGAGCAGGGGAGGGTCAGAGAGAGAGGGAGTCACAGGCTCCGAAACAGGCTCCAGGCTCTGAGCTGGCAGTCAGCACAGAGCCCGACGCGGGGCTCGAACCCACGAACCGCGAGATCATGACCTAAGCGAAAGTCGGACGCTTAACCGACTAAGCCACCCAGGCGCCCCGGAAACTGTCTTTTAATAATAATAATTGTTACTAAACTGTGTGATGAGCAACACAAAATATGCTCAGTGTTTGGTCACTAAGCTTTGAGGACTGTTTGTTGTAACAAGTAGAATTAACCTGACTAATAAACTATCCTTCTTAAAACCCTACCCATTTCATTGAACACTACCATTTATGAACCCAGTTGCTTTAACAGGAAACCGGGGCATCAGTTTGCTTTTACTTATTTCTTATTTCCTTCTTCGAATCTCTCATAAAGACTTTTTGATTCTACCTCCATTAGTAGCATCTTTGAAATGTGTGTATTTCTTTGTAGCACCAGTACATGATCTCATTTCCGGTTACCAATATTCTTTCCCAAATTTCACAGCCTTAAAGAACTTCATCCTTCATTTCAACTTCTAGACCCAATAATTCATTTTCCACATGGCGTCTTGAGTGATCTTTTAAGGGTCCAGCTTGGTCATAACATTTCCCTGCTTATTATCTTCCAAAGAATTGTTATTGCCATAGGATACAGTTCTAATTACTTAGATCAATTATTAAGATCTCTCATGGCCTAGCTCCTTATCCTCATCAGCCTCAAATTGCCACATCCCCTTCAATTTTACACACTTTCTTGAAGGCACCATTCTCTCTCATGCTTCTGAGACTTTGCAATCTTTAACTTCTACCTAAAGCTCTTACCATGATTTCATGTCCTCTTCCTCCGTGTTTTTCATTTTAAACTTTGCTTCTTGAAAGTTCTTCTTGACTCCCTAAAATCGTTGGATAATGTGCCTCATGTCACAATGTCACAGAACATTGATCTAATCTGTAACCACTGTCTTTTTGTCATTTTCCTTAAACCTTGCATTTCTTATGGTCAGGGACTGGGGCTCAGCATGTGCTCAATACATATTGAATAAGTGAACGATTAACCCTCTCTTTGTGTAAACAGTTACTTGCAGAGAGATCAGTCTAATAACAGACTAGAGTCTTTAAAAACTCCAAAGTTTGTAAGAAGTCTTACCTGCTGTTTTAAATGTAAAACATTCCCACAATTTTGCACCTCTTTGATACATGGAATATATATAGGGCTAATGGCCAAATGTCTAGGGAAAAAAAAGCTAGAAGTTTAATATGACTATTTATATTCTTACATTTCTTCTTTTTAAATATGGAATGCTTCATGAATTTGCAGATCATCCTTATGTGGGGGCCATGTTAATCTCTATATCGTTTCAATTTTAGTAGATGTGCTACTGAAGCATGCACTATATTATTACATTTCTATTCCACAAGCTAATTATTTTAAAAAGTTTGCCTATTGCCACAGACACTCACAAATATACATAAATGAGAGTGCTGCATTTTTCAAATATAGGTGAAATTTGTAAGACCTGCATGCATATCTAGAAACACATTCACTAGATATAGCCACATAAGCACAATTCCAATCAAGGCAAAATATTGAACTTAAATTAACAAAAGGCCCTTAGAATCAAAATAAACAAGAAATCTAATTTAATCATACTGCAGTATTCATCGTTTCAGTAGTCTCAACTTTACCCTTGACAAAAATCAACACCATTTCTTATGATTTTCTTCTTGTGATTTATCCAAAAAATGTAAACAAACTCATCTAAATGGGCTCATCTAAAAATATTGAGTTCTATTTAATAAATTCCTTTTTATTGGAAACAATTTCTTTGTGCCAAAAAACCCCAAGTGGGTCATTAAAGCAATTATTGTGACTGTGTAATTTTACTGCCCAAATTACCTAAATAAATAGTATTTACTGCAGCAAAACACCAGCTTACTGTCTTTTCACTTACTTTCAAATGGTAAGTAAGAAGAACTGTTCCTGATATTCTCAAATATTCACACTGCTGGTAGACATAATGGTTTGTGATTCATAAGAACTCCATTGCTTCAGTCTCATAGGTGTTATGTGCTTTTATTTTTTTTAAGTTTAATTATTCATTTTGAGAGGGAGAGAGAGAGAGAGAATAAGCAGGGGAGGAGCAGAGAGAGGAGACAGATCCCAAGCAGGCTCTGTGCTGTGAGCTTGGAGCCCGGTGTGGGGCACAAACCCACAAACTGCGAGATCATGACCTGACCCAAAGTCAAGAGTCAGTTGCTTAATCAACTGAACTACCCAGGCTCACCAGGTGTTATGTGCTTTTAAAATATATTCACATTTGTTGTCTTATTTTTTCATATTTTATACTTAATAATGTTATCCTAACTTCATAGTTATTGGAGCTAAGTAACAAGCTGTGCAGTTCTATATCTGGACTTGCATGTAACATTACATTTGCCACCTGCCCTAGAATTGATTCTTAGTCTTTTTAGCATGCATCACTTTTAAAGCATCCATGCTTGTATATGAATCTGCTTATCTTTTAAATTGGACAGGTTCAAAAATTGTCATCTATAGAAAAGAAAAACAAAATTTGACCATTACTGAGGCTAATTTGAAGAAGTTAGGAAAGGGCTTCTCTTTCACTCTAAATATTTTCTTGCCCTACATGAGAAAGGCTCAAATCCCTTTAATCAGGCACCAATCTTCCTTCTATTCCTATACATAAAGTTGAAAATGCAAATGTTTTCAAGGGGAGAAAACTAGTGACATGCACTGTCTGGTATTTAAATAATGGTTATTATCAGTTTCTAATGAGTTTGTAAGAAGGAAAAGGAGAGACAATGAGGCCACTGGACATGGCAGAAAGGAGAGGCCAGGATACCAAAGCCTAACTCCTTCAATTTCAGATATCTGAGATCATTAACTCCTTCTTCTTCAACTATGATTTACCCACTCCTGACTCTAGCTGATTCACAGCTCATGGAGGAAAAACTTCAGATCATGTGGTTCATTGTTTCCCCCTCAAAACTGAACACATCTTCATTTTTTTTTTAAGAAAAGGTACCCTTTGGATACTACCTACAAATTCAATCATAGCATTTAAGTATGCTAAGTCATTCAAGAATGACTAAAAAAAAGTAATTCTTTATCTAGTTATAGAATTTGTTTATATATATTATAACCTCAAGAAATTCCAGATATTTTAAAGATATTTTGTTGACATCAAATGTCTTCAGAATCAAACACATCACACCAAAGTAAAAATCAAAGCCAGGAGAATCATTTACTAAGCTTTGGGCATATATACAAAACTATGTATTTTACACAAATAATGCTTTGAGTCCTTACAGAGACCCTATAAAGAAGATGTTACAGTCCCATTTTAAAGATAAACAACAAACCAACACAGTATTAGATCTCAGTTTTGTATGACTCAGAGCCCCTTATGGTTACCTTGACAGAAAGGTTTGTATCCCACAGATCTGGTGCTGAATAGAAAGTGTCAAGTACAAAACAGAATAAGAACACAGCAAGAAGGATCTGGAAGCTACTCTTGGTCTCCTAGATAAGCACAGTATACACTGTAGACTCAACAAGGGGTGGGTCTATAAACAGTAACACTGAAGTTATGTCCTGATTCTACAACCAAGACTTCAGGATTTCCGTTATGAACTCTGCTAGGGATGGGTGAGCAAATATTTATCTAAATGTGTTTGGAACAGAGAATAAACAAGACCTTAACACCTGATGAGGGCGGTCAGGAAGTTCCTTCCTAGAAGGAATTACCCTCTTCTGAAGAAGTACCTGGAGATGGAGTAGAAGGAAGTAATATCTCAGAGAGAATAAGAGCATATCAAACCATAACTCTGGCCATTCTAGGAGTTTCATAGCAATCTAATTGTTCAAGGAAGAAGCCTTCAAACTTTCTGGGGTCATATTTGGCTCTCTATAAGGTCACTCTCAAGGTTGGACTATGCACTTGAAAACTGGACAGCCCATCGCAGTGTCATATTAGGGGCTATCAACAGCTTTTTACATCTCCACTTGTGGCCTCCTACAGGTATTTAAGTCTCCTTGATGAGAGACCAGGGCCTTTCTCAAGAGTCTATTACTAAAATATAAATTCATGTAGAATGGGTAAAATTCAGACGATCCCTAAACATCTCAGTATAAATTGGTTTGGAGCCACACTCACAAGGGTATGCCCCCATCAGAATGAAAAAGACTTAAGTTTTGATTTAGGGGAAGGATGGAAAAGTCTGCAGCAAGGAGCCTTGTCCAGAAGGAGCACTGTGGTCAGAGCAGTGAAAAACTCAAATGCCAGAAATTTGTGAAGATCTCAAGAAATGGAGACGCTTAGCTCTAGAGAGTACTTATAGATGTTATAAACAGTTTTAAAAAAGTGGTTGGGGGCTGGTGCATAAAGACAAAATACAAGAGTCCTCTGTCTTTGCTGCATCTGCATGTACATCTCTTCTTCAACATGAGTGTAAACATTTTTCAGTCCCTTCTGATATAGCAAAGGACACACAAAGCTTCAAAATTCTTGTTGACTTGAAATATATACTTTATTTTTTAATGAATTAAAAAAATTAATTTAATGAAATATGCCTCCTATAGCCCACATCATATTCACAAGGCCAAAACCTATCAAAGTATAACCTGAGCATCATGGTAGGCATTACTCTGTCACCCAATTCTAGTACAGTGAATATTCATCTTCTCCTAATACATTCTAAGAAAAAGAAATCATATAGCATTTGTAATTAAAACAAACATCCTAGAGCCCTGAACCCAGCTAGCATTTAGAGCATTTCATTTGATCAAACATATGATATATAGGGTTAGTCAGCAGACTAACTGAGATCTCATGATCATAACTGTCAAGACAAGGGTGATTCCAAAATAGCAACCCAGGGAAGCCATCCACCAAGGGGAACAATTAAGCCGGAATGACATTCTATTCTGCTGCTGCTTGAAGATTGCATGGCACAGCACTTTCCCCTATAATTTCCATCTAGCAGCACGGGTAGTGTGCATAGTCAAGCACTCTGTACTATAGTTTCCTCATCTATCAAGTAACTTTTCAAATAGGCCGTGAAGAAGGAACAACTGGGGAGTGCTGATTCATAAGATGAAACATATTTTGGGATCCTTCATAAGCAGGCAATTAACTACTTTTTTTTCTTCGCTTAAAAAAATTCCTGATCTTTGGAACAGAGTGTAATTAAAACTGCAATTAGTGACTAGGTAATCAGGAGCAAAGAGAATAAAGGGAAACTGGAAAGAGCTATCAGGTTAAATCAGAATCCATCCAAATTCAAAACACAGTCTGTAGTCTAAAAATAAAGGAATTGCCCAATAAATTGTTGGCATGATTCCACCTAGCTCTTCCTCAAAAGTATGTGTATGGAGGTAAACCTAGAATAATTTTGGAGTTATTTATTATGTTCCAAATGAGGACAAAAATAAGCATTAGTGTCACATTTGTCGAAATAAGCAAAGACCAACCAAATAAAAAAAGCAAAGGCTATTTATTCAGACATACATACAACGAGAGAATCAGCTATCATTACTTGCATTGTGACAAGACCAGCAGAGGAGGGAGAAAACTTAACAGTGAAAAAAGAAGTCTTCAGGTATGCCCTGACTGGAGGCTGGTGGAATCGAGAGTGTGCAGGCAGCCTAACTAGAATGCGGGAAGGGAGATAAATCCTATGTGATTGGTTAGGAGTATATAATTGGCTTTCTTTGTGTGGTCCTAAATTGGTAGCAGGGACAAAAATTAGGTAATTGATTGGTTACTGGAGGTAGCAATCTGGCTTCCTACAAGTATGACTTGAAACAGGCTGGCTTCCTGGGTTGTTAACTATAGATGAGAGGATGGTTTCTTAGACAAGTTGTTGCAGGTTGTGGGTTAGAATTCTATGTTTTCTTCTCTTTGAGAGCTAACACGCACAGTGGGGAGGGGCAGAGAGAGGAAAGGGAGAATCCCAAGCTGGCTGACAGCCACACTGACAGCATGGAGCCTAATGTGGGGCCCTGAGATCATGACCTGAGCCAAATTTCAGAGTCCAATGCTTAACCAATTCAGTTACTCTAGGGTGCCCCCTAGAGTTCTATTTTATGGATGGCCTGGGTATTCATTTGTAAACTGGGCCTCTCACATACATTTAGATCATCAATTAATAAAATATTTTAAATTCTATAAAAGCTCAAGCATGATCACTTTATTCTGAGAAACAAATGGTAATAATAATATTAAGGTGGCAACAGAACCTATAATATCTAGTAGGGAATGGACTAAATTTTTTGAGATATGATGCAAACAGTACTTCAAATATTTAGGGAAAAAAGCACATCAAATCAGAGCTCTGTAATTGTAAAAACAAAAGATTGCCCTTTCTAT